ATGGGACACTGACACCACCACTCGTAAGAAAACAAATTAAGAGAAATACGCGACCAGAAGAAAAGAAAGAGAAAAGAAAAAAATGCCGAAGAATTTCAGTGAGACAGCAAAGGGGTCGAAGAATATCGAGTGAAGAAAGGGGAGCATGGGAACAGTTCATTCAACTGTGGACTAAGCTGCAGATGGCAAATATCTGAAGATAGATTTTAAATCAAAATTAGTTCAAGGGCTGAGATTTCAGGAGGAACATTTCAAGAGCGTACTTTAAATGGGCTCTGTGATATTTTCATGCCTTTTGTTGAATAAAATCGTTCAAAAATATGGTATTCAAAGAAGGAGAAACTGCATGATTAAAAGATCAAATCTACCACTAAAAACCTCCTAACCCAGTAAACTCTTCCATATTATTCTTACTACAATCGTCTCTAATTGCAAGCAAATCAATTCCTACTTGTAACTAGATACAAACGTTTCAAAAAATCGGTACTTATTGCATAGAATTTTCATATTGCTTGCAAATGATTTTGACTGCAGCAGCAAATTTGACAACTTCAAGTGGCTGTGGCAGCTGCCAACCCAAGCCCATCCCTGGCCTCATCATCTGCGATTCACTGGCAGCTTCTTCAGCAATTTATGCATTCAAGTGGCAGCCAAAGGCAGCCAAAGGCAGCAGTCAGCCATCAGCCAGCAAACGCTGATGACAATAAGGACGCAGCTCCCAGGGACTCTAGTCGGTGATTCTGTGAGAGTTTCTGATATTTTGCCCGTCGTTGTATCTGTAAGATGCATTTGGCTGATTGTCAAGTGTCTCGTTTTGTTATCTGGCTGGCTGGCATCATTATCCAGGAAACATTCAGGAATGTTTCAACTAGTTAAAGTTAACTTAAAGCGCAGTTTGAGATTGATTTTTGGGGTAGAAAGAGAAGAAAGACTTCGCTGGTGGTTGCTGCATTAACTTAATTTAGATAATTATTTTAATTATTTTCATAATCCATAGAAGAATATCCAAAGGGTTAAGTTTGGTACAGTGTCCTCTGCAAAAGGTTTCATTGATCATTTACTTCAAAAATATGTAGAAATATATGAGCTTTATTTTTTAATCAGTAAAAAGTATTGTCTGAGATTATTCCAGACATTTCCAGATTGCAAAAGAATATTCTTATTTATTTAAAGAAATAAATTCTAGGAAATGTTTTCCCCCGCCCATCCTTATCAATTTGCATTGTTAATGAGTTCAGGAGGTTGCTCACTGTGTTCTTAATAAGTAAATAAATACATAAATTTTAATGATGATTTGTGTAGATTTTTCGCGTATTGATTAATGAATTTGCATTGTTCGCTTAGGGGTCATAACTCACCTGGCAATGTCAAGCCTCCGCTTAGAGCCAGAGCAATCAATAGAGCACTGAGCAAAAGCTTCATTTTTTACAATTTGTATTCTGTATATATTTGTATTATATTTTTCACACGGTTTTTAGTTTATAGTTTTATAACTTGATAAATATTATTATTTATTTAGGGTGCACTTTGTATATCAGTTGTCTGTTGTATATTTTTTCACCGGTTAACTATTCGGTTGGGTTCCCTACTGCTCAGTTCTGTATGGAAAGACAAACAGTTCTCAAATGCGCTTAAATGATTTGAGGAAACGGCAAATAAACGGCAAACGAACCCACAGAGAGAGGGAGGGCGTGAGTGAGCAAGCGACTGCGCTCACACTCTCCCTCACAATAAATATGCCTCTCCCTACAACTAAATTAGTCGAACATACCGTGCCGTACATGCTGACGGTATGTCACTTACTTAATAGGCTGCTCGCGGGCAAAAGTAATTATTTTGATATGTAGTCTAAAAAGAGACCAACAACCGCTATGAACTAGCTTTTAGGGAAGTTTTTCCGTCACTCCATGTTTTTATTATTAAGTAACGGTCATACCGGTATGCATGCATAGCAAGTGCCGTGCCTGTGGGTAACAGTTGTGAAATTCACAGCTTGCACGCTGTGCCAATATTCTGTCCGAGCACTGTGCTTATTTTTTTTTTGTTTACATTGCAACTAATCAGTTTTTGACTATGCTTCGTTAACTGCACGCTCTACAGCTATCTCTTTCTTCCTTTCAGTTTGAGTCTCTATGCATGTCCCTGTACCTGTCAATGAGTGCGAGTACTCGTAGTCGTATTTTCTCCTCTACGCTTTACAGCCTATTCGTATTTTGATTTAATTTCAATCGCTGACTGTTGAGTGGCTGGAAATTATTTCAATTTGTTGAATGGCTAAATCACCTGATGGCCGTGCATCGTATAGAGTTCAAGGTTGTCGTTTGTGTAAGCAAATCTCGTTTGTTTATGCCACCCATAGAGAGAGAGAGAGTGTTTTGAAGCTTGTATGACACTTACAATGAAAATGTAATAGAAAGTTGCACAGATTTAATAAGGCAACTAAGGAATTAAGGAAATTAAATCCTTAAAATAAGGAATTACTGGGAATTGTGTACAAAATTTTCTTGGAGGCACTCTCACGTTCCTGCTTATTGATCTTATTAGAACCCTATTGATTCCTATTAAACTAAAATCGAAGCTTGAAGCTACTCAGGGGACTGGGCTGGCTCTTCTCTATAATTAAATTCATTTGATAAAGCCCTTCTTACCAATTTTCTATAGTTAAAACAATCACGCCTAAATGTAGCTATTCACGACTGAGCCTTACGTTAATACCAAAGATCATATATTTTATGATGAATTGTTTAAAGGGAAGAGTTAAGATAGCGTATGACGATTTGTGACAATTACTGACTTAATCAGTAGTTTCTTAGAATTCATAACAATGTGCTTATATTTCTTAATTTTTTAAAGGAGTTCGTCGGTGTTCTTGACATTCTCGAGATTTGGACTTTCGAACTATTTTAAACTATTTGTTTTAATGTAAAAACTTCACTCCACATGTTTTCTTTGTTATATCTTCTCTAATGCTCTCCCTCTATTAACTTTTAATTCTCGTAAATTATTTCAGTAAAGGTCAATACATTTTCAAACGCAAATTAACATTTTTAAAGCTCTTTAAATAATTAAGTAATAATTTCTTCAACTTTACTGTTTTTAATCCATTAATTATATAATTTATATTCCATTCTAAGTAATTTTTCCAGCAATTTAACAATTTTCCTTCAATTTTTTATTTTTATATCATTTTTGATAAATGTATTATAGAAACTTTTTTATCGCCATATAAACTTTAGCGCACACGTGTTATGGCTTAATGCAATTTTGCAAAACAATTGCTTCAAAAGTTTATTTCTAACAGATTGTTTATAAACATTTTTTTAGCTTAGCGGAAATCGCACAGACACAACACACATACCGGAGACTCGCAAAATTTACATAAACTTTTATTGTTGTTGCTTCTTCGGTCGTCATACAGTTATTTCTGTAGGTTGTTGGAAGACGTCGGTTTTTTGTGGAGGAACACTAACTCGCGATCTTTGCCGTGCGCCGACTCTTGTGAGAGATTTCGGACTAAACGAATGCGTACGGATTTGGCTTCATTTATACCAAGGCACGCAGAGAGCGCTGCGATGAGAAAGAAGGCGGTGGCAAGATCGGCCGGAGAAGTCTTCTGAAATAATGGTAGAGAAATATGATAGACTAATAGATGACTCGCTGGTAAGACTGCAATTCAATTTAATCAACAAAAGTTGTAGAAAATTGTGAAAATTTCAAAGGAACGTGGACTTAAAATTTTACACAAATTCTAAACAAAATAAAATAATAATTTTATTTGTTTTTTTTTTTAATAACGACAACAACATAAATATTAATATTAAGCAAATCTTTTAAATAAGCGCCTTAAAAATCCGGTAGTATGCAAAATTGAGTAATTTGTTTGATTGTTTTATTGAATTATTTTTAAAACTTAGAGCAACCGGGAAAATACCGACAAATATTGCAGAGGTTTTTATTTCATTCAGGAAATTTACTCACGGCTTGGGCATACCCCCGGGCATACCTGCTACCCAAAAGGGTATTTGGCATAACAGATAATGAATAAAAACCTCGTTGAATGCATTGACACGTCAGTGGCGTGGGGCAGGCAAAAGTGAATGTCGTCGCCGGGGAGACATGGACTGTGTGTGGGTCATCCCTTGACCAAACAAACAAAAATTAAAAATTCAAAACAGTGCGCCGACAGAGACGGAGACGACAAGGAACGCGCGCCAAGCTAAGGTACGTTCCTGGAGTTACAATGAACGCTTTAGATCCGCTACGAAGCAGTGCTATTCCATCTCCACCTCTCCTCGTTCTCTTTTATAGTTATTCTCCCAGATTGGGATCTTGTTTTGCCTCAGCTGTAGCGCCTGCTCCTCCTCTTAATCTTCTAGAACTTGTAATTCCCACTGCAGAGCCCGAACCGGATTCTCTTTGAACTGCACTTTGTGTTGTTGTTTTTTTTTTTAATCTGTTTTAGCCCGAGTATTCTCGAGATAACTGGTTTGAATGCATCTTGCCTTTAAGTGAGAAAAAGCTTTTAAAATTAATTACCATTTTTGTACATATTGTTAGGACGACATTTTTGTGGTTGCGAAAAAAACCCAAATTAAGATCTTCGGTCTGACAACATTGAAAAATTGTTGTCAAGGCTTTTGAATGAAAAAGAAATTGAATCGGGTTTTGGTTTAGTTACAACAGCAAAAAAAAAAACAGTAATGACGTTGCCTTAGGCACTCTGGATTTTCCCTCTGTATTTCTCATGGATATAAATTCACTTCTCTCAGGTTTAAATATAGCAACATGCCAGGGAGACTACCCACAATTTATGATATGGCGCTCTTGACCTTGAGAATGGTGCGGGAATGAGAGCAAGATTTTACGCTCCAAATACAACAAATATTTATAGAATTATTTGATAGAATAAATTATATTGAGAGCATTTTTTAATAATTTTGATTTCGAGTGCTCGCTGTTGAAAGAAAACAGTGAGGCTAGGCTTGGATGGTAAAACGCACTGGAACAGACCACCCACGCCCTACGCGGCCCAGCACCATTTGGTAAGACTGGCGCCAAAGTTAATAAAATTGCCAAAAATAAAACCAGTCGGCACCAGACTAGCAAAATTTGAAATTCTAATAAGCGCCACCTGACGACCCAATCTGGATAGCCATCTGTTGCCTAAATTGTGAGACTCATTGCCTGGCCACACTAAAAACTGCCCAGCCCTGCGTTGCCCTGGCGACGGTTTTGTTTTGATTTTGACATCTCAAAATATTAATAATAAATTGCAGTTAACAACAGTTAACAAAGATAACAATTTTAACGCAAAACTCTAACAAAATGTTTCGTCGTGGTAAATTATCGTTTTTAAACACCAAAGATGACCGCATAAAGGTTATTAATGAGCGCATAACGCTGACTGAACGCCACCTCATGGAAATATGTTCGGCATTTGCTTTGGTAACCCGGAAAATGGCCAAGTAAGTGAAAGTAATAAAAGTAAATGGGAATACATGTTATATTTTTCATTTCAGATACCGCGATTCGTACGATGAGCTGGCAAAGGGCGTCAGGGGCTATGCGGATGACGAGGAAATCAACGAAAGTCTCTCCACGGGCCTCAAAAGTTTCACCAAAGCAGTGACCATAATGGGCGATTACATGGACATTAATGTGCACCGACTGGAGCATAAGGTACGCCATATTCAGGAGCTTATTTCTTAGCCCAACCCGATCTACATTCCCCCCACAGATTGTCAATGAAATGACACAGTTTGAGCAGCTCTGCAAATCCACGCGCGATAATCTGCGTCTGGCGGTCATTGCCCGGGACAAGGAGGTGCTGCGCCAACGTCAAATGCTAGAGATCAAGTCAAAGTTTGCAGCCAACAATGTGCGTAGACTCAAAAAAAAAAAACAAGAAATAAACCCAAAATTTGTTCCACAGAGCGCCGCTGATTCGGAGCTCTTCAAGGCCAAGCTAGAGGTGGCGCGCACAAACAAAGAAATTGATGAGATTATTGGCAACTTTGAGCAGCGCAAGCTACGCGATATTAAACAGCTACTCGGCGACTTTCTACTCATCTCGATGAAGCAGCACACCAAAGCGCTGGAGGTGCTCAGCGCCAGCTACTATGACATTGGCAGCATCGATGAGCGCGACGATTACCTGGAGTTTCAGAAGCTAATGAAAACCAAAGAGGAGCCCACAACACGCAAGGGAACACTGAAGAAGGGTCTACGCTCACAGTCAATGGATAGTCTGGATCACGAGCAGCTGGTCAGTCCACTGAAGCGACATCAGAAGTTGTCCAGAAGCAGCAAGAATCTGGCTGGCGCGGGTATAGCACATGGCAACAAGGGGGAGGAGCAGCAAGAGCAGGAGACTGATGAGCAGGAGGACGAGGAGGTGGACGAAGACGATAATGATGAAGAGGTGGGCACTGCTGGGCTTTTATGAGATTTTTCATTACTTATTTCTCACCTCCGTTTCTAGGAAACTGAACAAAGCGGCGAGGATGATGAGGAAGAGGAAACTGGCAGCGCCTCGGACGATGAACGCGAGCCCGCTGCCCCAGATGCACCGCCTGCGCCCAGAGAGAATGTGTTTGGTGTGAAGCCAAGAGCCAGCAGCAGCAAAGAGATGGCCAACCCTTCGATGGCACCCCTGAAACCCATACGCCAAAGCGTTAAACATCCCTTCAAGGCAGTGGCTGCTACGCATGTAAGACTGCAGAAGCAATTCCAAGTGCCACAGCACTAGCACCACAAACTAATACAAACACCAATCATTAGAACTAGAACAAGTCATTTGCATATTGCTCGCTAGAGTCATAGTCACGCTGCCATTATTTACCACAAATAAACAAGAAATGTGGAATTGTATGCACCAAAACTAATCAAGTGGAACCCCCACTCTGCAACCCTATCCAGCAGGTGAAGCGTCGGCGTGCAGGACGCGGCAGAAGTAGCGCCGGTCGCCTGGTAACCGTTGTTAAATCGAAGCCAACCGTTTGAGAGCATCGTTGGGTGCTTACAATTCGCGATTTTTTTAATAAATGTATAATTTAAAAATATAAACTAAATGGCAAATAGCTCCAAGACAAGCCCTTGCCCATAATTTACTTTACTTAAATTATGATCTTCCTGCGGGGTACAACTTAAAACTATGCAATAAATCGGATGAGCAAATCTTTGAGAGCAATTTGTGTGCGGAGAGTGTTTGGAAGAATTGTTTAAATGAATTGTGAGAGCCTTTGAATTGTAAATTTGATTTGTGTTGCCTCGTGGAGTGGTGTAACGGTGTTTGAAGAGTGTGGAACAGCGCCCGAGTAGCGATGTGTGGCGATTTGTTCCAGGTGTGTTGTATGACGATGAGTTCCTGGAGTGTTGTCTACCGCTGTTCCTATTGTGTTATGTGCCGTTCTTCGATGTATTTGATATGGGCGTGGCCGGGTGACAAGCATGATAGGGAGTGGGCGTTGGCCACGCCTAGCTTTGGTCGTCTCATTTCTCCGGGATCTGCCCCTCAATCCCAGCCTGATTCATCAGATCCGCAATGCTCTTCTCCAGATCATCAATGCGATTGCCCATGTCGTCGATGCGTGTAATTATCTGATCCGACATCGTCTGGAACTTGTCCTGCACATTCTGCAACAGATTTTGCACCTGATAGTAGGGCAGGGAGGGAAGCGCGCATTTACTGGGTGCACTTATCTATTGTCTCTACGCTACGTGTTGGGGCTACAAATACTCACGTAAATGGTCAGCTCCTGCATGTTCTTGGGATCTGCGTTACTGTTCAGCGAGTAGTTCTGGTCCAGATCGCTGTCCATGTCGTTGCGCAGTTCGGTCATCTCTTGGCTGTTGTCTGCCGTCTTGTGGGTTTTGTGTGTTGTTATAAAAGTAGAAAAAAACCTCCTTATCGCTGGTTGCCGTGGGTGAATTGTTTTTTTGTTTCTTCGAAAATAGTGTAACCGTTTTATGATATTATTTTGTGGCCAAGAAACCTCGGAAAAAAGTGCCGCTTGGCGATTAGAAATTTCCCAATTGTGGGTTGTAGGCAATCGTAATGAGATTTCTTTAAATCGTAGTAAAACGGTATGGGCTTTTTCCAATTGAAGTCAAAGGGTTTTCGATTTTCCATCATAATTACCAATTCGAGTCCAGTACTCATTTCTGCGTGAGCAAAGTGAGCAATATCTATTGTTTGGTGCGATAAGTAACCTAGCCCTGTTTTAGTGTGACCACGAATAATTACGCTGAAATAGTCGAAGAAATATTGCGCTTTTTTTGGTATTTTTGGTACTTCTGGTGACTGTTTACACTGCGGCTTCGTTTTCGTAAACAAATTTAAAATTATTACATATTTTTATTAAAAACTACATAAAAACGAAGTCAAAATGAATGCGCCACCCACATTCGAGTCATTCCTACTGTACGAGGGCGAGAAAAAGTGAGTAACTTTGGGTATTCAATGCAGGAACACCTGTAACTCATTTCGTTCGTTGTTGTTGCCGGCAGAATCATCAAAGAGCTGGACACAAAAGTGACAAATGCAGCGATTTTCACCATCAACAAGGAGGATCACACTCTGGGCAACATGATCCGCAAGTCGGTATAGCGTTTCTCTATTGTTTTACATTATGATAACATTACAAATTACATTTTATAGCCAGTTGCTGAAGGATCCCAATGTGCTGTTTGCCGGGTACAAGGTGCCTCATCCGCTGGAGCACAAGTTCGTCATACGCATCCAGACCACAGCCGAATATTCGCCGCAAGAAGCTTTTATGAATGCCATCACCGATCTGTTAGCCGAGCTCTCCCTGTTTGAGGAGCGTTTCAAAGTGAGTTTATGGAGGAATTTTAAGAGATTGTAATAGAGTCGGTGTTTGAGCAGGACACGCGGCTTGGGAAGGCTTTTGAAAGCGGTGCTGATTTATTTCAGCTTTTTTGCAGTGTATAAGCTGTACTATTTTAAATGGAATTTCCGTTCATAGGAGTACTAATCTAATAGCTTTTTATCAATGCAGGTTCCAAACTAATTGTTTTGGACGTTCTGAAATGTATTGCGGTTTAAGGACATTTATATTCGGCAGTTTAAGGAGAGTCCCATTTGGCGGCTAGAATGAAACCCTCCCCCTTTTTCCGACAAGTTTAAAATGTCTCTGTAAAAAGCCAAGAAACACAAGTCTTTTGTTTCCAAGAGACCTGCCTACAGTCAGTGTCTGAACAAGTGGGAAGCCGACTGCTCTAATGGATTTAACCTTTGAGAAAGTGCACTTTTGGAGTATTCGATTGTAGTACAGTCGATGTTCGTGGAGTTAAGTGGTGGCGTAGGGGAAACGCGTATTTATACTTATTGAAGCTAGACTCCTAAAGTATTGTGCAAGTTGCGTGCCTCGTTTTAAGGCCGCTCTGCATTTATTTTGCGCTCTACTTAGTTATTACAGTCAACAAACAATGCAGCTACCAAATGACATACCTCTGCAATTCAGTACCTTAGCACATGACCGTTTAAAGCCCATTTGTATTAACAATTTAAATTTGTTTTGAATACCTAGTTCACTTCAGCTCGTGCTAAGGGACAAATATTTCTGTATTTAGTCAGGATATTGTATTAATAATTCTTCTACATGCAGTCCTTCAGGGCCAGAAGTTCAGGCTAAATGTTTTTATAAAAGTCAGTTCCAAGATAATATCAGATAACTCTTTAATGCAACATTTAAGCACTTACACTTACCTCCCAAATAAGCATTTCAGATAATTCTTTAATGCAAATAAAGCCATTGATTCCTCTAATTTGGCTGCTTCTATAATTCCATAAAATATAAACAAATTCAGATTATTTCCTATACTTCCCCTATACATCTATGCATCGTATATTAATATTAATAATCATCTAAATTGTCTTCCAGGATGCCATCAAAGAGAAAAAGGAAGGCGGCGATTAGTTGTAGCTGTTTCTGGGAATTGTACAAAAAATAATAAAAAAACACCAATAAAATGTCGACAGTCTGTTTTTCCACAATGAAAATAATTTATTTATACACTCCAACAAAATATTGACGAATCAACCAAAGTGATTTTCGCACTAAGCGTTTACAGAATAAATATAAACAAATTCAAATTTGGATAAAAAACGCAAAAAACAACACAAAATAAAGAGAAAAGAGACTGTTAGCCAGAACCAGGCGTCAAGAGCTAGGACTTTGGCTCTGCTTCTGCTGCTGAGGTAAAAGTTTTCGCCATCGATAAAAAAAATAAATGAAGAATTCTTGTTAAATTGTTCTATAACTAATAGGTATCATCCACTTCGCACTCGCTGGTGTCGTGACCAAAGGCTGGAAGGCAGAAGGACAAATTTGCATTGAAGAAAATCTTTCATTTGTGGCAGCCACTCACCCTCGCAGTTTTCGCAATATTTCCGTGGCGCCGGCAGCTTGCGTTCCTTCTGTTCATTATTGTTTCTTTCGCTGGCCAGCGGCGGCGGCGAGTCATCGCGATCATCGCCCGCCTGCAGCGGACAATCCTCCGTCTCGTGCTTGTCGAATTCATCACAAATATCGCAGAAGAGACGGGGCGCGGGCTTGCGCTTTGTCAGCATATCAAAGGCGTGGGGTCTAGAACATTATTCCTTATAGAATAGATCAAGTATCAAGCTACTGTCACACTCACTTGGTGAAATCCATGGGCAGCATTTCCAGCGTCTGCACCTTGGCCTTTAGCGCATCGTTTTTCTGTTGCATATCCGAAATTATGGAATTTAGGAAATTAATTTTTGCCGCTGTTGTCTCCGTGTCCAGGGACTGCAAAAATGTAACAATTAATCTCGTCTTTCTGTCCTCTCCAAAAGCCAAACCCACCTCGGGATTATCCCCCACCAACACCCTGGGTGAGGCGCCATTAACCTGCGCTCGCAGCGCCACAATCTCGCGCGACTTTTCACCTTCGATGGTTTCCAGCTGGCGACGCAGCTGCTTGGACTCCAGGCTCGCTGTCTTTTGCTGTTCCTTGGCTTGATGCAGTGCTGCCTCCAGTTCGTGGACTCTTGGCTGCAGCTCTGCCAGCTCCAGGGCCTTCTTTTTGGCCGCTTCATCCATCTCATCGATGACTTTCTGGTACTCCGCGAGCTGCGCATCGAATTCGTTGCCCTTTTCGAGGAGGTTCTGCTTTTGCTTGAGGGATACTTGCATCGACTCGTTGGCCTGTTGCAGTTGGCGCAGTTGCTCCGCGGATTTGTGGGCCTCCTCTTGCACACTTCGCTCTTTCAGCTGTGCCTGCTCCAGCTTTTCTTGGAGCGCGTTGAGCGCAACGCTTTGGCTGTCCAACTGGGTTTTGGTTTCCTCGAGTGCTACCTGCAACGATGCGACTTCGTCTTGTTTATTGTTTAAGTCTTTTTGTAGCTCCTCCTTGGCTTGTTGTAGCTGCCCGTTGGCACCTTGCAGCTCTCCACTGGCTCGCTGATGATCTCCCTGGGCTTTTTGCAGCTCTTTCTTGACTTCTTCCAGCTCTCCCTGGGCTTTTTGCAGCTCTCCCTGAGCCTGTTGCAGCTTCTCTGTACTGGCCTGGCTCTCCTGCTGCTCCTTTTCCAGCTTCTCTGCGACTTTCTCCTGCAGTTCTTTGTACGCCGACTGTTTGCTGTCCAACTGTAAGTCAGCTGCAGCTAATTTACCCTCCAAATCCTTCACTTCTTGCTCCCTCGCTGCCAGCTTTCCGCTCATCTCCTCATTGGCCTGCTGCACCTGCTGCAGCGCCTCCACAGACTTGACGACATCCGCTTGGAACTTGCTCAGCGCCTGCTGATCCTTTTCGAGTTGCGCTTGCAGCTCCCCAATAGAGCTCCTTTGAGCGTTCAACTGTGCAAGGGATTCCTGTAGTTTCGTCTCCAGCTCTGCGTTAAGTTTATCCTTTTGGTCGAGAGCTGCCTGCAGCTCTGTTTGGGCATGTTGGAGCTCCCGCAGCTTCTCTGTGGATGCCTGGGATGCAGACTGCATCTGCTCATCGCTTTGTTGGAGTTCCGACAGCTGCAGTTCCAGCTCCTGGCAACGTCTGTGCCTCTCCTCGTGCTGCTGGTGCGTTTCCTTCAGCTCCTCCTTCATGCCTGTTAGCTTCTCGATCAAACGCTCGGCATTCATGTCCGCCTCCATCTCAAACAGCTCGAATATGTGATTGGTTTCGCTCTTCTCTGCTTGCAGCACCTCCAGCACAGTGGACAGCTCCGCATTCGTCTCGGATATGTTGGCATTGGCCACTTGAATGGCCTCCACGAGGGTCTTTAGATCGCTAATCTTTTGTGCATCCTCCAAGGCCATTTTCTCCTTGTGCTGGAGATCCGTGTTGGTGATTTCAAGACGCTCCTTCAGTTCCCTAATGGTCTCCTGTGTGCCGCTGCTTAGCTGCTGTTGGTCCGCAAGCAGCTTGGACAGTTCCTCCCTCACCCTGGACAGTTCATCCTGCAACAGCTTCTTGGCCTCCTCCAGGGCTGCCTCCCTTTGCTCCGCCTGCGCTTGCAGCTTGGCCAGCGCCTCTTGACTCGTGTGCAGCTGCTGGCGGAGGTCCTGCATCTCGCGCTCCTTCTGCAGCATCTCCTGGCTCCAGGCATCCGCTTTGCTGGTCAGCTCCTTCTGCCCGCTGGCCATTTCTTCGCTGAATTTGCTGAGCTTTGTGTGCAGATCGCTCGAGGACGAGCGCTCCGCCTGGAGCTCGGACTGCAGCTGCTCGGAGATTAGCTGCAAACGTTCCTCGAGTTGTGAGGCCTCAGCGCGGGATTCTGCATAGTCCTGGAAGAGAAAAACGAGCATTAGAAGCTGCCTAGAGGGCGGGACACATGCTCACCTTGTTGATCTTCTCCAGTGCTGCATTTGTCGCCTCCAGCTGCCTGTTCTTAGACTCCACCTCCGCCTGACTGGCCACGAGATTCGCTTGTGTGATCCTCGCTTGGA